GCAATCGGGACCTGAGCTATACATCCTTTTGGATTTTGAGCGGGATGCAGATGGATCCTGCATGGGATGGATCGTCAAGATTGCTAGCCAAACCTAAGTTTGCAAGTGACCCCCTCAAATTGGCAATTGTGCTGCCAGTCACATCTGTCCATTAGCATTAGTGCCCTGCCATTTGGCAAATTTGCCGGGAAGTAAGAGTACATACTGTGCTGTGTCTTAATACTCTGGGACCGACAGAGGTATATCAGTCACATAACAATAACTCTTGCTTTATTCTATCATGTTGGAAATAACAGTAAATTATCCTGCTCAGGGGCATACATGAACGTGTACCGGTACAGTAGCATTGATCTTTTTTGTCAGCTGCTTGGCTGCTTGCTGAGCACCATCTTCCACGGTCTTTGCCAAGGGCTTGTCATGTTTTTCACTGCACCCGCACCATGCAAGACAAATTGATAATGCATCAAACAGTTATGATGTACATGTACGTATAGGCTGTACACTGTTGCAGTTTAAGGCAGTACTGTGTGATTGATCTAAGCTGCTTCAAACCATAGACATCATGTACCGGTAGTCGTGACAACATTTTTAAATGGTTTGTTTGGTCAGACCTAGCCTTGGCCCTGAAATCCCCCCCCTCCCCGGCCCCCCACTTTGACAGCTAATGTAACCACTTTGCGGTACATACAATGTACATGTCCAATGTACATTTACCTATGAAAATAAACTGCCCTGTAACTTGCATAATTATTCTGTTTACTTGCATGTACATTCATGTACATGTAGGTCCTTGGTGCATTCATACAGCTCTTTAAATCATGACATACTTTTTTTGAAGGGATCTGCTCAGTTGTCTTTAATATGACCTGGAAAGGGGGATATCTTTTAAAATTTCATAATTTAATAATTGAAATGAGATGAGAAAGCAGACTTTTTGAGTGGAATATTCACGGGGCTAGAACTTTGTTTCAAGTTAGGGGGAGTGTCTTTACTCACATTGTAGCAGTCTTGGAACCTTTGTTCTTTCCCCTTTAAGGTTTAAGAACATGCCCAACAGCAAAAACTTGAATACATGTACATGATATCCTGGATTATTTTCCACTGTAGGGATAAACTATCTGTACACGTGTACCAGCACACACTCTCATATCTCTCTGCTCATGAGTTTTACTTTGACAGAGGACAGAGCACAAAGGGGACAAAGAATGTATCCCTTGGTGTCCTCAGTTGTCATCTTCCATGTCCTTTGTGGCAGGCACCCGAGTTTTGTCCACAGAGCATCCGCGTTTTGACCTTACGAGAGTAATTTGCGTCAACTTGCTCGATGTTTCCATTAGTTCGCAAATAATTGAGTACTGTACATTATTTGTCAGCATTTACCCGCGTGTACTTTGCCGCTGCAAATTAGATTGACGAGGTGGGGGCCAAGCACCTCCGATTGTTGTCGTAACAAGAAGATATCCACCTATTCAACGGAAATCCGGGCCTCTGTTGTGCAGACGACGGATGTGCGTCAGCAACTTCCCCAGCTTTTCTCTCAGATAAAAAGCATCTTTTGGTTGTGAAATTCAATTTCATGGACGTTAATGCAGGCCCTCGCAAATACCCTTGTTCACTAATTGACGCTTACGTTGTGCCACAAAAGTAAAGGGTCTGATGAGTGGACTGACATGCATTGTACATGTATCTACTCGGCATTGGCTTGGGTGGTCTGTAAAGCACTATAGAAGGGGTGTTTTCTTTGTTAAAAAAAAACTGTCTGCATGATGTACTGTTTGTGCTTGATTGAGTTCAGTGGTTGATTTTTTTTCCCACAGTTTCTAGTCAAAGTATGTTTTTCTTGATGCATCTGCCATTCTATTGTTTGGCGTGTTTGAAAAATGTGAACTTGACTCTTTTTGTTTTGTAGTCTGGGCCTTGGAGATTTTGGACATTTGCTTTTGTAATTCGCGCTTCGTACAAGGACTCGCCATTTCAAGCCCTATTCTGGTTCTCTGAGTGTAAACGATTTCATTTTGATCCTGCTAAAAATACCAGTACATGTACATGTACTGTATGTTAAGTTTGTGGCATGAAATGTCATATTAATATTGGATTTTTTTGCCCTGCCCGACGTGTATTTTAACACTGCATGCTCAGTGTATGCCCCCGAAGGCTTGTGAAAAAAACCCACAAGCGTACTCAGGTGGGACTCGAACCCATGACCTTCTCCTTACTAGTGCAGACGTCTTAACCACCCAACCACCGAGCTTGCCGGTGTCGGCTGGCTGGTTCGAATCAGATGTAGCAGTGGGTACCGCAAACAACATGCGGCAAATGTCATGTAGTTGTATACGTATGTACATGTATGTACTGCACATGTACATGTAAGCCTCCTGTATGCCATGATCCTGAACGTGCTGAAACTGGAAAGAAGTACGAGTATAGGTACATGTAGAGTGTACAGCAGAAAATTTCATTGAAGAAATTCAGGAATAGTAAGATGAATTGGTCAGAAATTTACAAGCATGGACTGGCACTTACATCAGACATCTAGTGGTGATATGAGGATGTACTTAGTACTCATTATCCCTCTGCCCATTTTGCTCAAGATCTATGAAATGCGCATTTGTAACACAGTCCACCCGAACTTTCTTGTGTCACCGATTCAAATACGTGGGAATGACATAGTGAGTGTACCGGGGTATACATGTACTTTACTAGTACATGTGTGTGCTGTGTTCTCTCGGTTTGCACTTAGAATTTTTCTCCAATCTGTGTAATCTCCAAACACAGTGGACAGGTGGTTTGTTTCATTCATGCAAACCTTGTCTAATTAGCTAGGCTAATAAATTAGGGGGTTTTGAGTTTGCTTGGAAAGTCAATATTTGCGCAAGTAATTTCTCAGGATTTTTGAAAGATTTTTGTCCCCAGAATTACAGGATTGGAATTGACAGGTTGAATCACTCAGGCTTTGTTCCTTTTTTTGCCTTGTACCCCCAGAACAAGATTCACTTGACATCGCCATTTAGCAGAGAAGTCATGCCTTGTTGGCTATTATAAACTCACTGATGACAAGTCATCATTCCCACAACCCCTCTGTTGAATGCATGGCGGATTTTTTTCTCATTCTTCAATAAATACCCCTGATCTTTTTTTCTGGAAATTCTTTCAAAAAGAAATGTCTGGCAAATTTCTAAGAACTCTGCAGGGTTAGGGATAAAACGGAAGAAAAGAAGTGGGACGGAAGGAATTCTGTTGCACTGTAAAAGCACACCTTCGTCCTCTTTTATGGTGTATGTTTAGGACCCCAAGCATCTTGAATCAGGGCTGCGGCATGTGTTTTTTTTCTCTCTCTCTGGATGCATTCTCTGAAAATGTCAGGTTCAGGGACTCCCCACCCCTGCGGCCTTTTGTTTTCCCGGGGATCATCCAAATTAAAATTTCCAGCATAACTTCTCGGTGTAGGCCGGAGAATGCTGGCTGAATCAGTGGAGCACCCATGCTATTATGTGATAGGGATAACCAGGCAGTAATGTGTGCATGCATGTGTCGATCAACTTGTTGCGCTGGCTTGTACCATAATGCAGAAACTCCATGAGCAATTTTTGTGGATGATTATTACCTATGTACATGTACATGTGTACATGTATGAGAGAGATTACAGGTGCCTATGCCGTACATGTACCTGCAGTTACTACCATTATCAAATTTCCTCAGGCCGGAAAACTGCACTGTGGAAGCCACTTGAAGTCATTTTATGAATTATAGTTTTACTACCATTTCATGTTTAAGGAAGGTTTTTCCAACTGGTTGCATATGAACAAAGTTCACTCTCGCTGTTGGCCTCAGTTTTTTTTTTCCTTTCCGTGGATTAACCGTTCCTTTTTCAGCTACGATTAAGATTAATTTTATCCTCCTATACATGTAAACTTCAATTCTGAACAAAGTCGTTCCCTCAGTCAAAATCAGTGAAGTAACTCTTTTTGATAATTCAGAGTCTCCACCTAAATCAGAATTGACGGTTGATGTACATCAGTGCTTTGCCACTGTCAATGATTCATAATCAGTCCGGCTCTGTCAATCAGTCGGCTGCAAAGTTTGTCCGTTGATGGAATTCAACTGGTCACAGTATACATGTACATGTACTGTCACTGTCAGCATGGTGAGTGACTAGACTGTATTTCAAGTATAGCAGGGGGGGGGACAAGAAAAGTCTTTGCTCTCTGTGACTGTCACAGTGGAATTAGGGATTTTATAATGAGCAATGAAATCTTTGAATTCTATTTTGCTCGGTTCTCTGTCACCTGAGGTTTTAATCACAGCAAGCAATCAGAGTCGGGATTGTCAAAATGGAAATGTCATTTGTCTATAGAGTGCACCCCGTCCATTTCTACCCTATAAAGTGAACCTGTCTCTTTTTGTCTCACAGAGGGAAGTGCACATTTTTTCTACTTTCTGGTTGTTCCTTTGATTCCTCTAAAAAGGCTTAATTAGCCCAACACTTTTTAATAAGCAAATGAAAATATGTATTAGCAACAATTTGACCAATTCATGAAGTCATTTGGAAGCCTACCAAACATATACATGTACATGTATGTACATTATCTATGCATTGGTGCATAATGACTTCATAGAGTATCAGTATTTATTTAAGGGGAACTGGGTCTAGTTTTTTGGAGTATATTTACTTTGCATATCACCCAGGGTGTATGAAATAAAAAGGTGTAACATCTTCATAAACTTTGCACTTTTGATGGGCATTTTTCATGACTTCTGATATTCCAAGTATTATGCACGTATGATGTACATGTACTGTATGATCCAAGAAAAGTGTCATCACTCTTCCACTAGCGTCCAATTTCAAGCCAGCCTTGTGCTTTGACACATACCGGTACATGTGCTTCTATTATATGCATCCTCGACGCAAGAACTTTGAAAGTGTCTGGTACCTGTCTGTTAAACATCAAGTTGCAAAGTGAGATTTACTGGAGTTGCTAAAAAAGCAAAGGAGAACTAACCTGGAATTTGCTGTCAGACAATCTTGGGCTTGAAGGCAATCAAAGATCCATTGCAGGTTCCGTACAGAAAAACCTCAAAGTCCCCAGAACCAAGAACACATTGACAGTGTTAGTCCTACCCTACAGTCTTCACAGATTCATCAATGTACATACTTCTACCGCACACCCACACAGTTGCCTCAGTTCATCGCACCCCTTGAGCTCGGAAGATTGCACACACGTGAACCCCGCAGTCCGGCTCGGCCATGCACTGCAATCCAGGGCCTCGTTCTCTTAAAGACTGCAGTTGATTTAAATTTGTTGCCTGGCAACCACTGCCAGAACGGATGCCTCTCAGTTCACTTAAGACCAATTTTTCTTCTTGGTGGTGGTAGTAACACTGTCGTGCGCTGTCGTTACCATTTCGTGCAGAGATCACAAAAACAAGGAGGTTTGCTGTGTCGTCGGGCTGTAGTACATGTATGCCAGTCGGGTGCATGGACTTTGTGTTAGGAAAGAAATACATGTAACACTGAATGAGCCTTCATGCATGAAAGATCTTCATGTCCATTTGTGTACCAGTGCCACCTACATGCAGAGGCAGTGCCGTGATGGGGTCATACCGATGCTATTCTAGATTACTGACAGAACTTTATTAAATACTCATATTACAAGTTAATGGGCTACACTTTTATAAACCCGTGTACATATACATGTATATTCATTCACTCAGGTACATGTACATGTAGGAGCAAAGCTGAGTGAACTCTGTACAATGATGCCCTCTTCAAGGTTGTCCATGGACATCTCAACCAGGAGCCTGATGTTGATTTACCTGGGAGCTCAGTGGTGTTAGAAATGCTTGTCCTGCAGTAGGCTCTCTCAGCGTCCCACATTTGATGGTGTGTTAGTAGCCGCCTTTGAGTTTTTCAAGGGTGTTAGTTCTCAGGATTTTTTTGCCTCTACCAGGTGTTGTAACCCACGTATTCTGGATTTTGAGAGGTTTAATTATTCAGGTTTTGCCACTTTCTGCAGTTTGTAGAAAAAAACAAAACAAAACAGGCTATTTGTGCGATCCAAGCCATTTTGGATATGGTAGAACACAAGCCTGATTAACGATTAAAACCTTACAAACCGTATTTTATGACTACCACTTTTAGTTACAAGCCCTCTGCTTGACGCTCGGTGGATTTCTCCTTATCCTCCATTTCACGGTCCCTGGTTTTACTCCACAAATGCCCGTACTTGTCCGTGTTGATGACAGCCCGCCATATGCTTCCCCACATTTTACTGTCTGTGACCGTGATGTGACCTTTCCCAGAGCACTGAAGTTTTCATTGTGACTGGTCAGCTACATTGTAACTTGTCAAGTTGTATTGCTTCAAGAGAATTCAGTCTACCAGTGCACGCATACACTTGGTTGTCCCTCTGTCATTCAAGGGTCCAGGCAGTGACGTTATCTTCGCCACATACTTTGTGCAGCTTTCAGTATGTACATGTGTTTGGGGAATTTCATGGAATACATGTTGATTTTTGGAATGCACTGAAAAAGGAGGAAGCTGCCAGGAATGGAAGCATTTTACATGTACATGTTCATACAGGGACATTTGGTGGAAATAACCCAGGAAAGATAGCCTGATTCAAATGGGAGTAATTTGAAACTGTGCTTCACACACTTATTTTTTATGTAAGGGTGTGTGCACACAATCAAGTTGACATTCCTTTGGGATGAAGTGTATTAAGGAGTGCATGGTTAAGCTTGTCCATGCTGAACATGTACAATGTGTGTATGGCACTATAGCTGTGATGTCAAGCACGGAAGACACGACTCATCAGTTGAAAGATATTTCCTTTCAAATTGTGAGCCTGTGGTTACTCTTTACATGTTTATTGTCATGCACTCAAACAACCACAAATCACCTAAGAGAAGGAAACGTGTACATGTAGAATATCCTAATAGCAAAAACTCAATTTGGTTTTATGCACAAAGCAATACAACATCGGTTTTCTCCCTGGAACGACAGCACAGTTTTTAGCTCATGAATGTGGAAATTAGCATTTAGAAACAATTTGCACTCAAATACAAGAACGTTTTTGAAAGGGCTCAAGAGAAATTGGAAATGAGGTTTATTGAAACACAGAGGTGCATTTTCAGTGCGGTTAAATTCATCTACTTAGCCCATGCCACAACTGCAGCCGCATCTCCATTACATTTATATATTTATAACCGTTGCTCTCTCACAGGGCAATTCCACATTCTAAATTTGCAAATGCTGAATTGTTTTGGAGGTCTTATACGTAGCTGAGCAAAGGATGAAGAGTTTGCCTGTCAAAGACTAAAGTACACTTTACACCACCTTTAAATTGCCACCAGATTTGACAAGGCATGACTAGCATTCATGTGGCTGTATTGTTTGTTTTCTCTTACATGTCCACTACCTGGAAACAGGATGTTGTTAATTCAGAGGACAGAGACCCCTAGGCCTGTACTGTGTTGATATTTCAAACATGTTGAAAGTAGGCATGTCTCTATGTAGACCTTTCCCGTCACAAACGCAGGAGGTTTTACAAAGTTTGCAACAGGGAGATTTCCTCCTCCATATTGGAATGAAAGCCTTGTCAAAACCTACATGTATGTACAATTGTGTACATGTACCGTTCTGTGTAAATTATACACCAGTGGTTATCAGTGCTCCAAGCAACGATATTAACTGGATGGGCTTTTGTTGTCAAGGTGAAAACTTCTATGTGCATGTAGATGTGCAGTTTTCTTTAACTAAAATACTAAAGATGTACTTGCACGTGCACCCAGCCGGTACACCAAAGCAAGCCCATCTACACGTGCGTGTATTATGGGCTAACCTTCACGGCTAGGAGGAGCCTGTGTACTTGGAAAAGCCATTGTTCAGCCTGACTCGTGAAGCATGACGTTTCATCGTTGTGGTTGAAATTTGGGCTTCACCCCCATCACTTAACATGCCAAGCCAGAATTCTTAATATGTGCATGTACTCTACATGTATTATTGCCCTTGTTGTTTCCTTGGTTTTTTATTTATTTTCCTGAAATTTGTTTTCCAAATTAAAAGTGCACTCTGGTGAGGAAAAATGCTCACTCATGTGCATGTAATTGTTATAGCTACGGTATAATGCCTTGGCTTGTTTTTTAAGTCAACACTTTGAAAACAGATGGGTACCGACAAGCACGTTTTGGCACTTTGTATACATGTAAATAGACAGGAAAAACCTGATGTCCAGGCTCCCCACTTTTAAAACCAACAATTCCAGGTTGGGTAGTTTTTAGTGAGTCTCCCATCCCGTCACTCACTGCACAGCACGGGGATCTTTACCACTGCTCACGAAACCCTTGGCCTGTTGTCACAATGCTATCATTGCTTATTGGCCTATGGCTGATTTCTGAATTGATATTTTAAGGAAGAGCACCACATGTGCACCTGATGAGTGGCAAGTGAACAGGGCCGGGCCCCTCAGTCTGTCATCCCAGAAGCTATCTGTGACATTCCAAATTGGCCCTGACCACTGATTAGGGAAAATATGTAGGCATGTATCTGTTGGTAGGGTTGCTGGTTATCACAAGAGGTTGTCACATGGTGGAGGGATGGTCTCCTGGTGAGATGGATGTTGATTGATGGTGCTATGCTGGGTGCCGCTTCCTCATCTGTCATCCCTTTTCCCCCTAGCTGCTAGGGATGGTGGCTTTGTTTTGAGTGTGCACATAAATGGCATATCTGTACAGGATGTGGGGCATGTAAATGTACATGTATGTACACAGGTTAATTGGAGCCATCAAATTCAACAGAAATGGGGAGGGGGTATGCCTCCCATTGGAGGTAATTACTGTACATGCAGAGTGCATCATGTTGACATCTTTGTAGATGGAGGCCTTCCCTGGCAATTCATAATGAAGGGAGATGAAACATCATGAGATGATATGAAAGAGTTGATTGCATCGGTGCCCTTTCAGCATCTGAAGGTTGCATTGAATTCTTTTTTCCCCCCAGGCTGAGGGTTTGAATTGAAATTTTTCTCCCTCAAGGATCTCAAGAATCATCAGTTTCTCTTTTCAGTCACCTCATCTGGAGATTGGGTAACACTGAGTAGAGAAATGTCTCTCATGATTACATCCCTCTGAGATAATGGAATAGCGGCTTGTGAGATTTTGCTCTTTTCACCGGAGAAACTGAAGTGAAATCGTTCCAGGTACATGAATGGTTCAAACTTCACTGACCACAACAGAAGTTAAAATGACTTTCTTGGACATTGAGGACTTCCTGTGTTTTATTCCTAGGAGGTTGAAGTGAAATGGCATGGGAGAGTCTTTGAAAAGCATCCAAGGATGAACAAGAAGGCTTTCTCTTTTTGAAATTGCCAATTTTCATCTGTTTTGAGGGATTACAAATAAAAGTGTTAGGTTACTTTTCTTATTCTTGAGAACAGTTTCTGTCAGTCTTGAGGTGGCAGACTGATTTTGTAAAGTGTTCAATGGTTGGATGTTTCAACGTGAAACTAAACACCCTTGTCTAAGACTGACAGCAAAGTATGGGAACACTAAACCTGTTACTTGAGAACTTCATCTTGGTGATATTCATGGGAGACTTGAAATATAACTTTTCATTCTGCTGATAGGGGTTGCTGGGTTCAAATTGTTTTTTTATCAAGTGGAATGTAGACGTGCATGTGCAGTCGTCCGACAGCCTTCACATTTCTTTGATATTAGGTATGATCTTCTGAACTTGCCAAGAAATTTGTGTCTTAAGATGAATACATGTAGTATCGTTTGATTCAAATGTCAGTATTTGAATCATGACTCTCATTTATACATGTACCCTCCTTTGTGTCGTTCAGGTCACGACTGCGGTCTGTACGTGATTTGCGTGGCCGAACACCTATGCCGGCAGATGATTGACGGCCGTGCAGAGGCGCTCCGACAGAAAGTGACGGGGAAGGTGGTCGGGGACAAACGGAAGGAACTAAAATCCCTCATCCTGGGCCTGGCCAGACAGAGCAGCAGATGATGGGAGGCTGGAGAAGGGGGGGGGGAAGCCGGAGGAGGTCATTTGAGGAGTTTCTGAAGATGGTTGATGCGAGCTTAGTGCTGTTCCCGTGATGGGAATTCTACTTGGCATACATTACATCAAGAAATGGGTGGATGTTTGGGTACAAAGGAGGGCCGACTGATGGAGGATTGTAAGAATTCTGGTCTGAGAAATGGCTTTACTCTGGACTGCTCCATGTGCTACCCGCAAAGACTTAGAATTCTATTTTATTTGTTCACTTAATATTTTGGGGAATTCTGAGATGAGAAGATTTTAAGAGGTAGTCCCTTGTTTGCATTTTTTGGAATTTGGAAATGCATGTATATTATAAACACGTAATCATATGCATAATTAACATGGATTTGTTGCTGTTTCAGTTGACAAGAGGTGTCTCTTGAGAATCGAGAAGTAGATGGAGTGTCTAGATCCTGTTGCTGGTAATTGTGAAGAGCTGCCGAGTTTGCTAGATGTTACATAGCGATAATCATTCAACATGGGTACACCGCTTCAATGTTAAGTAGACAGACACTCTAACATCTGTACACGTAAACTGCTGTGAAAAAAATGTTCTGGAAGGAGTTTCTGTATTCAGGACCCTACCGGTACATCTGAAAACGTGAGGTGGGGGGGGATGTGTGCTGCTTGGTGACAAAACCTTGACGACCATCTGAATCTAGAGCAGAGAGTTTCCAGGCAGGTTTTTGAGAGAAACATCTTGAAGGTCTACATAACCTCTATATCCAGTCTGGATCTTTTTTTTGGGGGGGGATGTTTTTGATCGCCTGCTTTGACCCTGTACTCATCTTAGTCATAAATGTATGAAAATGTAGAAATTTGTTTTGTAATAGCATGTCTGTAAATTCTCTTGTAAATTATTAGGCCAAGGGCAGGACAAGTAAAATATTGAGCTTCTGATCTCCTGCTTCCTGTTTCCCAGCCTTTTTTTTACTTTGCAACTCATTTAAACTTTTAGTTATTTATAACAGTATATTTCCAACAGATGAATATGTGAAATCAGTTACAGGTATATGTATATTTTGCTGAAACTAAAAGCTCCTAATCCAGTATTAAGTTTTAGCTTTAATATTGTATTTTTTCGGGATGGCAATATCTGTAATGTGTGACACCCGTGATTTTTTTGTCAGTGGAAAGTGACATTTTTCACCCTTCATCTTCCAATCGGATGAGGAAAAACACATGCCGACCAATCACAGTGTGACTTGTCGCTTGCTTGGAAAAAAAAAACCTCCAGCGATTTATTAGCCGTCATTCAATAATTCCCGCAGCACCTCAGGCCACTGAAGTGAAAAGTACCCGTAATTGACTTGTTTGCTGTTATCTTGTCACGGACAATGAGGTTTCTGGGCGTTCTTTCGTCATTCCCGATCAGATTGCTGGGTTTGGGGGCGGGGGATGGGGGTGGGATTCCACTGTGACGTCGCTGATGACTAAAAAACAAAACTTGAGTAAAGCCAAAACCTGTCAAGTAATCAGTTGGTTACTCGTGTTGGCCACTTTTAGGGCGCTGCATTGTGGTCCACAGTGGTCTAATTTCAAGAGTGATACAGGAGCGAAACTAGATCCATTTGACCAGTGACAGTGTTTTGACAGAAGCAATTGCTGGTTACCGTTTTATCTTTTCGCCATCATTCTTACAGACTGATGTCTTATTTCTCTCGATGAGTGACATCGAAATATAAGTGTCAGGTTGATGATCTCCAATCCGTTCGTTGTTATTTTTTTTCTTTTTACAGGGGCCCGTGTCTGAATGTTCGAGGAAGACCTAAAAGTGTATAAACCATGCACGGATGTTATTTTGCGTGTACGGTTAACGACAAAACAAAGAGAATAAAATGACTTTCATCAACGGCGATAACTACATTTGATATGTGGTACCACCCCTGCCTTACACATGTACGAACAAACATTTCCCGACCCCCCAGCAAAAAAATCTTGGATTCGTCCTTGAGCTGCGTGGAATTGTTTAAGCATGGTTTAAGCTTACGAAAACCAATTTTAAGCATGTGGTGAAATCTGAAGATGAAGACATGCAGTGCTAGAATCCTGAGCGTTTCTCCTCACTGCGTCGAAATCCCGCGCTTACATAATGTCGTCGAAAAGCGAATGTTCCAGAGCAACGCGTCGGTATAGCTGGAAGAGATGTCATTATAACGATGCACCGCCCTGCCAAGGGGGGGGGGAGTTAGGCGTAACGACACAACGATTGGCGCCTCGGCAGTGGTTAAGTCGGAACTTAGTTCCCCCAAGCCACGGAGCTTATAAAACATCCCCAGACGAATTCGGACAATTTGTCAACATGCTGGCAATTAAAGCCGCCGGTGATTAAGTGCTTAGCGTTTTCTTATGTATGCCCCACGGTGTGATCATTGCATTTGCAAGCACGCGCATACGGTGCACGCGCCGACAAGCATGACTGATCAGAGAGTGGAACCATGTCATTGTGATGAATCGTTGGGTGCAGGCGGAGTAGTATTTGGGAAAACGGCATTGAAAATTCAAATGGATGTGCCCATTCCAGTTAATTACGGAAGTGGGTTTTGTTTTGGGAATGGACACTAGTGAAATCGAAAGCCCCCAGTGTTCTGTAGCTATCCATGCATGGTCAAAATGTCATGTAATTACCATTTCTCATTAACGGGAGGCTGCGTGGGCAGGAAGTGTCGATGGTATAGTCCTTTACAGGCAAACTTTGTTGAGTGGCGAGCATTCTTCAAGTGTCGTCTTTGTAGCACTTTAAACTTAACTTAGCCATTGCTCATTCTATATAAGTAACATTTGAACTTGCGCACCAAACCCCTTGCGAATATTTTGATTGAGTTTTACGTGTGTACATGGTGACAAGTTTTATTGAGGAAGACGTGAAACAGGATTTTTATGACTTTCTGGCAATGTTACTCAGACTTAATGACAGTAAAAAAAATAATAACTTCAACCTTTTACTTTTTATGCTAATGAATTTCCATATTCATGAGCTAAAGGGCGTGTCATCATAAGGCAGAACAGCTGTTCCTTCGTATGTCTGTGTACAAATATATTTAACACTAACTTTTCTACATTTCCTAGGAGTACGTTCGACTTGTTACCTGCTTGTAGCTTGTTTGAACAATAGTTATGGCCAAAATTTCTTCAAAACTTTGTTGCGGATCAAGTTAAATATCACCTTATTGTTACATCTAATGAAAAGAAGTACACGTATCTAGATCTTGTTTGCATTGCTGTTACACATAGTAATGTGTATCAAAAGTTGAGCTGAAAGTCTTACAATAAAGAGACAAAGCAAAATACTGGCTTTACAAAGAGGAGGGCAGGGCTCTTTTGGTGGGGATGCAGGGGGGGGGGTAATTGCACCCTACAGCTTTAAACAATCAATAGGATTAGGTCTATTTGGAGATCTTGCTGTATACGTTTTCGTTTATTCCCGCCTTTCCTTTCTCCTAGTACTGTATTGTAACAGTAATTTTTTTCCATAGGACGTTGGAGGTATGGAATTGAAGTTGGAGGACTTAATGGAAACGGTGTCCAATGTCTGGAAGAAATTTAAGAAATGAAGCTACTCCCAGTGTGGAGAGCCTTGAATCACTCAGGTTGTCTACGAGTCTATGATCCTATGACTATCCTAGAAGAGGGCACTTTTTCCGACTCGTCAAACTCAACTTATAAAGCGATGCATGAATTACTTCGTTGCAGCTGGAAATACTCGTACACACTACGCTGTCGAAAGAGCTTAGGCCTACATCCATAACCATAGACTCGAGCATAATTTGAGGCTTCAGCCAAGTAATAAGGCTGTGTTCGAAGGTTTTGGTTGCGGCTATATTAGACTCGGCCCATGGGCCCCCGAGCTTGAGGGCGCAAGTTCCCTGACTACCGAGGCTCTTTTGGTGGGAAATTCGATTCGCTGGTCCACAAACGACCCTGAAATGCATATGTTGCTGTTGCGTCGCCCCCACAAAAGTGAACCACTCCAACCAACATGGCACATTTCTACCGATGAGGGTGTGCTCCTGCTTAAGCCGGAAAGGAGTTACCGTTGTGAGGCTCCCGTAGCCGTATTGGGCCGTTGCCAGTTGATTGGGACAAGGTCACTGAACGAAGTTTTAATTCGCTATTGTGCTTGATGGTACTGCAGGTCAGTTTTTAGGCCCCAGATTTCCCGCGCTGACCAAATCACCGTTTGCGCTCCCCTCAGAGTGTTCTGCGGCTGGAGGGAGAGTTTGTAGAACAGAGGGGTGGAAGCCACCAACATGACTGTCGGCTTGTAGGCCCTAGGCCCTATTACTAGGAAATTTGGACAACACAGATTCTTCCAAAATGGCTCTATTTTGCAATGGAGTGTAGGCATCAGAAAATGACCTATCCAAAGCTTCGCGAACAAGTGAAGAGTTGGTTATTTTTCGATTATGGTTATCTTAAAAGAGAAAAGTGATTTTCTTTTCTTTTCCCATTTCCCTGTCTTATCAAAACGTGTAAAAAGTCCCTAAAGTAGCCACTAGAAAGGCCATTTAAGACCATGAAGAAGTAATTCCAAAGTTTTTGGTCACCCTAGCCCCCCCAATTTGCTTCTAGGTCCACCCTTGTAAATGTGTAAACAGTGTGACTGTGACTACCACGGACGATTTTTCCTGTGAACTTACGATCACACGGTGTTTCTGTGGCCAAGGATGGCTTATATTGCCATTATGGCAACATTTTCCTCGCCGATTAAAGTTGATATCTCAACGGTGATCCAATATGCGAACGTTCCGATGAATTATAAACTGAATCCTTTCGGATATTTCAACTATATGTGTGGGTTGGAAGTATCGAAGAAGATCCACAGGTGGGTACACTCGCTTATTTGTCGATTTTGTTTTGGTTTTGTTTTTAATAATAGACACCTTTGCCCCTCTCTTTCGTTTTGCTCTCCACCGTTCCTTTTATATGCCCCGCTCTTGTTCACCGGTTCCTCTTTATTTGAGGCGCCCTATTTTGTTAATCCCCGCCCCAGCCTTGTGCCAGGTCTCCTGCGGTTCTGCCCTATGATCAGTTAATTCATCACTTTCTTCGACAGAAAGAAAATAGAACTTGACATAGGTCGTAAATGTCTTTCCAAAAAACGTCTCGCGGAATTTTTCCCAGCGTATATATTCGTGGCAGTGCAGTGTGGGCATGATGAAACGTTACTTTAGCTGTGGCATTGCATTATGTGTCCACTTCATCTTTATCTGGCCTCCATTCGAACAGAGTAAGAGAAAAGAATGTAATTTACAGCGGATAGAGAACTGGTGTGCTTCAAAGAGGGGCATTTGGGCCGTAATCTATTCGAAAGAATTAAATTACCATCCAAGGAACAGACGTCGATGGGAGTGAGGACATAGACTGGTCATTTTGAGCGAATGGCCCGCAGTTAATCGACCACTTACACGAGTCATCAAGGCATGATGCATGGGTGAACAGAAAGGCCACGAAACAGCCGTAGAGACGTCGTGCCATGATATAATTTGTCGCGAAGAGTATTCTATGGTTTCGTTTTACTTGGAGCTCTTAGAGAAAGAGTGGAGTATCATACCGTTTTCATAGCTGGATGATGCTCGCGTCATCAACCCAGCCCCGAAGCTTTATTTTATTTATGCCTTATTTTGCAAGTGTAGTATCTTAAAACCTGATTGTTTTTTCCCGAGGAACGTTGCGGCCAAAGAGGAGCAAAACCCTCCCTAGACTTTTACAACCGTGCCTATCCTGTTCGTTGGTGACTTTGTCCAACAAGTTCCTATTGGATGAACACCCCAGTTGAGCCTTAACTTGCGGTTCCATGGTTACATGGAATCATGACAGATGTGGTTTCTGTATCATTTAGTCAGCAGCCTGTCATCTTCTGACACATCCCGCTAACTTTTAGAGCACGCTACGTGTGGAGTGGATGGATGACACTTATTCAATGAAATTTATTTTCATATGATTCCCAGGATGGGGAGTTTTCCACCTCAGCTGTTAATCTGTTCCAGTCTACAGTTGTAACAAAGAAGGAGTCCTGAAAGGCTTTGGCTTTATGTCGAATTTGTCTAAACATTTTATCATTCCCCTTTTAGATGTTTGATTGGGTTGAACATAATATCGAAATGGGACTGCCACCAGGCCATCCACCTCTTGCACATCATACATAATCTCAGCTTTTTTTTACTTCAGCTCTTCAGTGGTTCAATCTGAAGCGACGGCACAATTGCCAACCAGATCCTTGCTCCTCAAATCATTGTACTAGCTGTCGTTAAACTTGGGTCAGGTGGGCGTAAACGTACCCCACTCCGTAGTACGTGTATTTTGAGCGTCATTGGCAGAAATTAATCCAGCAAAAGTTCATTGGTGATCGAAGTGCACTGCTGACTTTGAGTCTCTCTTAATAATCCCAATTGAATTATTTGGTTTCTATTTTGGCTCACTGGATGAGGGTTTTGTTCCCACACGGCTCAACTTCAAAGGAAATAATATTAAAAAGGGTCGTACCGTGAGGCTGATTTGTTTGTATTTGATGTCGCTTTGCCTGTGGGGCGATTGTCCATAGCCTAAGCATACGGATTAAAAAGACTGATAACCCAAATGAGTCTGCCCGATCCAGTTGTGTAAGGTACTCATGGCGCTCGTGGGCGTCTCCAGGACTTGGGGGGGGGGGGGTCAGTAAACCACTATTTTCCAAGGGGAAAATTTCCGGGCCGGGGGTAAATCTCTTATCAGCTACGTAGTAACTGTGCGATGGGGTCATTTTTGAGCTTTTTCAAGGTTGTTAATGACTTTTCATTCCCTTTTATCATTTTTAATTTTTTTTTTCGATTCCCATTTTTTCCCTTTCTGTTTTTCGGGAGAAGCTGCCCTTGCCCCCTCCCCTTACG